GTACCTAGTGCACAGAGACGCCATTCGTCGTTCATACCACGATTGGTTAAGCACAGCTTGAGCTTCACAATGAGGTAGAGCCTGACGCCTACTGGTTCGGTGCCTGCGCCTTCTGGGGTTCCCCCCGTACCTGGCCCGTAGACGCCCAAAATGGGGACTACTCAAATTGTTAGCGGCAGGTCGCGAGTCGGCAATAAACGCACTCTCCTGGGCGTGGGCTTGGGAGGAGGGTACAGCGGCAAGGAAGGGCATCAGGAGCCACGAGGAGCACCCAGGGGCCAGCAGGAGGCACCGACTGCGCCCCTTAGTTGGGGTCCCGCTGGAGATGCAGCGGAGGCCCCGTAGGTGCTCACGGAAGCGCCCAACTCCACCAGAGTGCCCACTTGAGTGCCGTACCATGGAGCCCTGGCCCACATAGAGACTGTCGGAGCCAAGTTGGTACACAAAGCTGAGGGAGCCCGAGTCGTTTCCCGCGGACCTCGGCGTAGGATCTGAAATGCACTTAGCCTGCAGATAGGCAGAGGTAAACAGTTCCATCGCACGCAGCAAAGTGGCATCACCTTTCCGATCACAGGCTGAGATCAGGCGCGGGGGAAGGTTGTGGAGCAATTTGCGGGCCTGCTGCCTCGCCTTGCGTCCACCTGTGAGAAGAGCTCTAATGCGACGCAATGTCAGAGTTACCGTGAGGGCTGTGACCACTGTCGAGACGTATGGGCTTACACCTGGCCGTGGGAGGAGCTCAACGAGCTTCTTCTGGACAGTATGCACATAGTCTATATGTCGGGTGGATGGAGCCGAAACGAGAATCTGCCATAGACCGGAAGCCAAGACCATGGCCGTCACATCACCATATCGCTGCTGACTCCGAAGGTCGCTGTAGATAGAGATCTTAGTGGACCATCCACACGTCGCCCGAAGTTCCTTTATCACTGCGGGAAGGACCTGGGGCCCAAGTAGTGCCGTAGGAGACTGACGCGTGTCCATATGAACACGGAGATGATCATCACATGGATTTCGGAGAGAACCTGCACAGCCACGTATACAAACGAAAATGAGGAGTGGTCGAAGCGGGAGTCGGGGGCGGAGTACGGTAAGTATTGCAAGTATGGCAAGGATCGCCTCCATCAAGGGGCAAGTACATTTTGCCATCGAAGACGTTACACGTCGGACAACAGGTGGCCATATTCCAACCATTCTTGAAATTGGTCGTGATACCATTGGGTGGATTGGACGTCGGCATGAGCTTGTTGTAGTTCCTGGAGAATCAAATACATGGCCCTGGTCGTCTCGTTGTATATTCTGTGTGTCCGCCATGTGGTGGTATTGACCGTAGATACTTGGTTTAGCCATCTGCTGTCTGAGCTGGCAAACTCGCCAACTATCAAGGCCAGTCCTCGGTCTACAAAGATCTGTTCCATCAGCAAGTCGGAAGATATGCATATATATATATATATATATGGATTGTTATGTAGGCGGGGTGCGGTACACACTGTCTCGTAGGACCGGCGCTCCACACTCCCCGCGTCACACTTGGATGAGTTGTCGTTAGCAAGATGACCAAGCCCTGCAGACCAGTTCCCAAGACGTCGCCCCCGCTGAGTGCCTGGAGAGGCGAAGCCTCTATCGCCGACAGGCGTAGACAATCAGTCACAGAGGCAACAATTATTGTCACAAGCCCCGGCGTAGGAAATCGTGTCGCACGCGCAGCCAAGCGAGGAGCCAATACGTATTTGCGGCCCTTAGGCCATGAGCGAGCTCCTACAACCCCCGCTCGGAGGCTTTGAACATAAAGGCTGCCAAAGTGAAACCAGACGGCAGCTATCTGGTAGGATCTCGACCAGGAGGCACGGCGAGGGGGGAGAGAAGGAGCGAGGCCACGGCCAAGAGGCAGGAGGACGAAGGCGAGGAAGAGGACAAGCGGGAGAGAGAGGAAGAGGGAGACAGAGAGCCTGCGCTGGCACTCCACCAGGACCCCAAGAGCCCCGAAAACGGCGACGCGCGGATCACCCAACGCTGACAGCCCGAGACATTAGATCAAAAGACAGGAAATAGAGCATACAGGTTCCGAGCTACTGCCCAAGAGAAATTTCAAACTTAAACACATTGTGTGTGCTGAGAATTGCGTCAGAGGATTGAAATGAATGAAAAAACAGACGCGCACACACACACACACCACCCAACCCAACCCCACCCCACCCCACCCCACCCCACCCCACCCCACCCCACCCCACCCCACCCCACCCCACCCCACCCCAGCCCACCCTACGCACGCACGCACGCACGCACGCACGCACGCACGCACGCACGCACGCACGCACGCACGCACGCACGCACGCACGCACGCACGCACGCACGCACGCACGCACGCACGCACGCCTGCACGCCTGCACGCACGCACGCCTGCACGCACGCACGCACGCCCCCCCCCCCCCCGTCGCGGCCATCAGAAGCATTTCCCAGCCACCCTCCCACCCCCACCCCCGCCCTCCGCACGGACGCCCCCCCCCCCCGAGGCCCCCAGGGGCCCCCTGACGGCCCAGGACGACCCCAGGAATGCCCCCCAGACACCCTGGGCCCCCCCAGGCTCCTCATACGGTCACGAAGCGCCGAAAAATTGTCCAGCAGGAGCCCTTAGCTCCAGAGCATACACCATGGTTCTCTTCATCCTCCTCCCCCTCCTCCTCCTCCTCCTCCGTCTCCTCCTCCTCCCTCCCTCCCTCCTCCTCCTCCTCCTCCTCCTCCTCCTCTGCCTCCTCCTCCTCCTCCTCCTCGTCATCATCCCTCCTCCCTTCTCCTCCTCCTCCTTCCTGCTCATCCCTCTTCCTCCTCCTCCTCCTCCTCCTCCTCCTCCTCCTCCTCCTCCTCCTCCTACGCTGCCTCCTACTCGTCCAACAATCCCTCTTCCTCCTCCTCCTCCTCCTCCGCTTCCTCCTCCTCCTGCTCTTGCTCCTCCTCCTCCTCCTCCTCCTCCTCACCATCATCATCATCAGCATCATTCTCCTCATACAAATGTATATTTGCTAATATAAGTATGCGTAGACAGGTTAAGTGTGTTCATTGTTGTATGTGGCAGACGAATGCACTACTACATTAATATAACTATATGTTTATACACATATACAGTTATCTACATATGCATACATATATACGCCCACACATATATATACATATATGTACAATACATGTGTATATATATATATATATGTATGCATCTAGACGTATGTGTATATACATACACATGTACATCTATCTAAACATATGACCATACATACACATATGTATACATATATGCACGGCCTATGACGAGTACTACCAAGACCGACTACTCCCTATGACTATTATGTCTTTTGACTGGTACTTTCTAAGACCAGTACTCCCTCGGACTAGTACTCTGTTCAAACCAGCACACCATAGGACTAGTACTCCCTAGAGTCAGTACTCTCTCGGACTAGAAGTTCCTAGGACTCGAACTCCCTAGGACCAAGAACTCCCTACCTGGATCGAACAACCCCTAGGACCCGCATCCCCTAGGATGAATACTCATTAGGACCAGTACTCCATAGGACTGGTACTCCCTAGGACCACTACTCCCCAGGGCTAGTACTCCCTGAGACGACGGCACATGAGACCAGCAGGAGAGCTTCAAGACGGCCCAGGAGGGCTTCAAGCCGGCTTGATACTGAACAATATTGGTTTTTGAAATTTGACATTCTCCACTGTCGAATAAGATGTGCTTTACATTCCAAACGCGCGCGGAATGTGCGAGGTTGTGTGCGTGTGTTTGTTTAATGTATTCCGATTGTTTTTCAAACAGAAAGGATCAACAAAAAACAAAGCTCATAAATCCATGGAAACACATTGTTTCTGAATTTTGACAGTATCCGCTGTCTAATGGCATTTGCTGTACATTCCATACGCGATTGAATTGTACTACATGTTGTTTGATTTTCTGTATTTCGCTTGAATTCAAGCACAAGTGAACAACCACATATTTCAAACGCATGAATCCGTGAAACAATATTGCTTTCTGAGTTTTGACTTCCTTCGCTGTCTGATAGGATTTGCTAAACATTCCATACGCGCGTGACGTCCTCCTCCTCCTCCACCTCCTCATTCTTCTCCTCCTCCTCCTCCTCCTCCTCCTCCTCCTCATCATCATCATCAGCATCATCATCATCATCCCTCCCCCCTCACCCCTCCTCCTCCTCCTCCTCCTCCTCCTCCTCCCCCCTCCCCCTCCCCCCTCCCCCCCCCTCCTCCTCCTCCTCCCTCCTCCTCCTCCTCCTCCTCCTCCTCCTCCTCCTCCTCCTCCTCCTCCTCCTCTCCTCCTCCTCCTCCTCCTCCTCCTCCTCCTCCTCCTCCTCCTCCTCCTCCTCCTCCTCCTCCTCCTCCTCCTCCTCCTCCTCCTCTCCTCCTCCTCCTCCTCCTCCTCCTCCTCCTCCTCCTCCTCCTCCTCCTCCTCCTCCCTCCTCCTCCTCCTCCTCCTCCTCCTCCTCCTCCTCCTCCTCCTCCTCCTCCTCCCTCCTCCCTCCCCCCTCCCCCCTCCTCCTCCTCCTCCTCCTCCTCCTCCTCCTCCTCCCCTCCCCCTCCCCCCCCTCCTCCTCCTCCTCCTCTCCTCCTCCTCCTCCTCCTCCTCCTCCTCCTCCTCCTCCTCCTCCTCCTCCTCCTCCCCTCCTCCTCCTCCTCCCTCCTCCTCCTCCTCCTCCTCCTCCTCCTCCTCCTCCTCCTCCTCCTCCTCCTCCTCCTCCTCCTCCTCCTCCTCCTCCTCCTCCTCCTCATCCTCTCTCCTCTCTCTCTCTCTCTCCTCTCTCCTCTCTCTTCTCTCCTCCTCCTCCTCCTCCTCCTCCTCCTCCTCCTCCTTTCCCTTTTCCTTTTTCCTTTTCCTCCTCCTCCTCCTCCTCCTCCTCCTCCTCTTCCTGCTCCTCCTCCTCCTCCTCCTCCATCTCCTCCTCCTCTCCTCTCTCCTCTGCCCCCTCCGGTCCGGCGGGGCGCGGGTCGGCCAGGACGACGAAGTGGGCCAGCGTGTCCTGGCAGTGGGCCGACCTCGGCTCTCCCGGCGCGACGGGACGCACCGCGCTCCAAACGCAGGAACTCTCATTTAAGTCGGGCATGTTCCGCTACAGGAGGAATAATCATTACACCTGAACAAAGCCAGACAGTGGATGATTTGAAAATTCGTCAGATGGATCTTGAGATCGATTGCGAGATCGATAATGCTCAAGTTTCGCCATCCTCTACTTTTCGCCCAAGTTCGCCTGTAGGGGGACATGCCCGCCCTCAAGTCATCAAGGAAATCCTGGAGGCCCCGCGCGGCAACCCGATCTTAGCTCCTCACCCCCCTGCGGGCCTCTGATCTTATCAGATCTGGCAGGATCTCCCGCCTGCTGCTCCTCTGGAGGAGGAGGAGGAGGAGGAGGAGAGGAGGAGGAGGAGGAGGAGGAGGTCCTATTCCTCTTGCCGTCGGATCCCCCTCGGGGCGTACGTCGGGCTCGCGTCGACACTGCGTCGGAGCTGCGGCGGACTCACGTCGGGCCGGCGCCAGAGCCTCGTCGCGCGTGGGGCTCACGTCGAAATTGCCTCGGGAGTTGCGGCGGACGGACGTCCGGCGGACGCCGGAGCATCGGCGCGCGAACGTCGACTCAGAGCTTGCGGAGACGACGCGTGGACTAGAAAGTACAATTATTGCGACCCGCGCGAGGTCTTCACGATTTTCCTCATGAGGGAGGCTCAGGCGAGGTGCGCACGCAACGCATGGCCAAGTATAGAGCGAGCTCTCTTGCACGGATTCTGGCCTCCTGCTGGTGTCTTGTCTTGTCTTGTCAAGTGTCAAGTGTCAAGTGTCAAGTGTCAAGTGTCTTGTCCTTCCTCATGAGTGTCTTGTCTTGTCTCGTCTTTCCTCGCAAAGGGGGGGCCACGGCGCGCTCCAGAGAGAGCGCCCCGCTTCTCCAGGGACCGCTGCGGTGCGGGGCAGCTGCGGCGTGAGCCCTCCCAGGGCGCGTGTCCGTAGCTGACCCTGACATGAAGGGGCCCTGGGACACACAAACAAATACACACAAATAAATAGATCCCCCTATCTTCCCATATTGTCCCACATGTTCTAGGGAATGGACGATTCACTGTGTCTGTGTGTATTCCCTCCTGACCTGACTGCCCCCAGCCCTGGTGATTCGGGAGTGTTGGGCGCCAGCGACGGCGCCAGCAGCGCCGGCGCCGACGCCGACTACGCGTCGACGACGCGCCGCCGCCGACGACAAGGACGACACGACGACGACGAAGACGACGACACGACGCCGACGCCCACGGCGACAAAGGGGGCCCGCACGGCCTGTCGGGGAACCTTCTGGAAGCCTCAAGGGATATCCGAATTTTTTTCAGTGGCGGGGGGCGGGTCAAACAAGTGTTTGACAGCGCGTCTGGGAGCCCCCATCAAGAGCGGTGCAACAGCGGGCCCACCATCGAGTCCCCCGAACAATCCTGTTTGACGAGGCCCGTTAGCCCCCCACAAAAAAAGAGCCCTCCTCTATTATCCGGCGGCGAGCGAGGGGGGGAGGTGAGGAGAAGGCCTTCTCAGAAGGCGCGCAAGTCCCCGAGCCTTCTGAAACGTGTTCTAAGCCTTCCCCGGAGACATACAAAAACTTCTCTGAAGGCGCGAGGGCTTCTGAGAAGTCTCGCCGCACTCTGAGGAGTTGTCCTTCTTATTTCCCCTCCTCGCTCGCCGCCGAATTGCGATGATATCTGGAGGAGGAGGAGGAGGAGGAGGAGGAGGAGGAGGAGGAGGGAGGAGGAGGAGGAGGAGGAGGAGGAGGAGGAGGAGGAGGAGGAGGAGGGGAGGAGGAGGAGGAGGAGGAGGAGGAGGAGGAGGAGGAGGACCAGTAGAACGCCCGGGGCCCTCCTGCATGCCCCGCGGACTCCGCAACGGCGGCGCGCCCGTCTGTGGTTGAGCAGGGACCGACCGTCCTGGCATTCCTGTAGTCCTACTACGAAATACTCTTTAAAACCCACAGATGTTCTGGGAACCAAAACAATGTTCTCAGAACATGAGCCCGATGTGTTACAGCAAGACAAGCTTAAGCAGAAGTGTTCTAGGAGCATGTCGTGGATGCCGCAACAGGTTCCTAGGACATTGTTTGGTAGAACAAACCTCCCTTCAGTAAACCTCCCCTTGAAGAACATGGCCTGGGACCGAAACCGACGGACCTGGACCCGCAAAAATGACGGCCGCGACGCCCTCTCGCGAACAGAAAACGGCAAATTCCTTAATCGACGCGTCAGGGTAGGAGGTCTGTCCACCCCCAACTATCTGGTCATCGCTCGGACGTCCATTCCCTGTGTGTTTTTCGGTTCCGTGCGTGGTTTATTCGCCAAATGATCAAGGATGCTCCTCGATGGTCCTCGCCGAAGAAGAATGCACACGTTCGAGCGATGCCAAGGTATAGGCACGCCAGGACGCGACGCCTCTGCCTGATGTGGGGCCGGGGGGGAGGCAGACGGGGCGGGCCGCTCCCAGAGCGCTCGGAAGGCCTGTGGCCTCCGGCCTTCTGAAGAGCTGCCTGAGATCAGTTCGGGTCGGTCCTTCTGCAGGAGGGTTGTTCATATATTTATATATGTACATGTATATATATATGTATATATGTGTATATATATATATATATGTATAACAAGGCTGACCCTAAACGGTGTTTGTCGTTCTCGTCTTGTTGTCGTGCTCCCTCGCCTTTGTCTCGGACCAACCCGTGCCGCAAAACGAAGTCGAAACGAAGCCGGCCCACGAAATCTCCAAACACACCGTTTTGGTCCAGCCCTGATATACATAAATATATATATATATATATAACGAACCATCAAACATAGCCAACAAACGCGAACATTCGTCACCAAACCGATATTCTACTCTTCTTGAAAATTCCTCCTGTAGAGGGGACACGCCCGAGTTGAAACTGAAGCTTCTCCGAAGCCGCCGAGGGCTTCCCAGAATGCCGCAGGGACTCTGACGAGTTCTGACAAAAAAAGACTCTCCCCTTCCTCGCCATCGCTCGGACGTCCATTCCCTGTGCTTTTGTCGGTTTCGTGCGTGGTTTTTTCGCCAATTGATCGAGGATGCTCCTCGATGGTTCTCGCCGTAGAAAAAATGCACACGTCCGAGCGATGCCAAGCTTCTCACTTCCCACACCAGCGGGCCGCCAACAGAACCGCCACCGAGTCGCGGGCGGGTTGTAGTCGAACACGCCGCCCCAGCCCTGGTTGCAGAAATGCCACCTCGGTGCGTACGCGCTGGGGAGGGGGGAGAAGCAAGCGTGAGGTCAAGACCTGCTCGATCCTGCTGCCGATGCCCCTCCCTCGTCCTGGCGCGCGCTCCGGGCCCCAAAACTCTTCTCTCAAAAAGCGGAGGAACAGTGCGCACGAAAACGACCTCCCTGTAACTCGTATGGCTGGGCATTCCAACGCGGGAAAAGCCGGCCGTGGCTTGGCCAGCACAGTCTTACCCCAACCCGTTGGGGGTGGAACAAGGGTTGTGAAGACCCGTGCCCATCTTTCCAGTGCCGGACGTCCCGCATTTACCTCACCACCAAGGTTCACGAGAACACTTTTCGTCGGCGTCGAGGCGGCGAACTCCGCTTCAGCGAGAAACTAGATAGGGGCAATAACTACCGAATTGGCCGGCCAACCAGGCGCGCGGGGCCAAGTTCACGAGTACACGAAACCGCGTGGATCCTATGAAAATGGTGAGGCCTATCTGGGCATTGCGAGAAAAGCCAGTCCCGCGTACCCAATTCCTTGGTGGGATGCCCTCGCCTAAAAGTGCTACACTTATGGCCTGCCTTCTCGACCATCCAGCCTTCTCGACCATCCTCTGCCTGCTCGACCACATTTCCCGTATTCTTCTCCCTCCTCCTCCTCAGGACCTCCTCAGGTCCTGCGAAGGCTATCCTTCTGCCTCAGATCCTCATCCTCCGCCTCCTCCTCATCATCTCCCTCCTCCACCTCCTCGTCCTCGTCCTCCTTCTCCTCCTCCCCCCCCATGGCGACTGCCGCTGGTTACCCAAACTCCCGACGTCATGGTTGACTCACAATGTCGACCCCGAAAGTATGGACCCCTTCCCGGGACCGGTTTTTCATCCTGAATCGTTTGTTTGACGGGCCCTGAAGGGCCCCTGGATGCCGAAGGTAGCGGAAACGTCCCGTCGTGAAGTTTTGTCACAGCGCGAGGGGGTTATTGGTGGCATGGGGTTGGAGGGGTACCCGTTGCGCGCGAATTAATCCAGAGGCGATGGTGAGCGGGGCCCTGTTGGGCGCGAATTAGCTGGGGGGGCGACAAAAAATTGCCGGGCGGCGAGGGCTGCAGAGACCGGGGGGGCCCTCTTGGGGCCCCTGGAAAGGAAGCCCTTCAGGGCCCCAGCGGGGGCCTGCAGAGCCCGAGGGCACCCCTCTCCCCTCCATGTGTTTACGGACCCCCCCCATGACTGGCCATCGCTCGGACGTCCATTCCCTGTGCTTTTTTTCGGTTTCGTGCGTGCTTTTTTCGCCAAATGATCAAAGATGTTCCTCGATGGTCCTCGCCGAAAAAAATGCACACGTCCGTGCGACGCCAAAATGAACCAGATGCCCCTCAGAAGGGCACCCCGAGGGGATCCTACAGAATTCGGGGCCCTCGGGGGATCATAGACGACTTGTCCCTGCAAGTCGTCCAAGGGACGTACGACGGCGACGACGACGACGAGTTGATCCGCGCCCAATCCTGAAAGGACCTGAATCTGGCCTTCGGTCGGGCCTGTCCCCCCACAGGGGGATTTTCGACGAAAACTACCTCAAAATTATCCTGGCGAAGGACCCAACCATATGCAGTTGTGAATAACGCTTTGTGGGTGCCGCTTTCGGTGGGCTTCCTTATGGGGCCACAAAAGGCGTGCCACGAAACGCTGTCCTGGGCGTACGGGACGCATGAGGGCGGTAGCACTGGGGCCTTCGGTGGAGCTCCCTATGGGGCCACGAAACGTGTGAGGGGTGTGCCAAATTGGGTGCGGCGCCGCCATGCGAACGCAGCCACTGGGGCCTTCGGTGGAGCTCCCTATGGGGCCACGAAACGTGTGAGAGGTGTGCCAAATTGGGTGCGGCGCCGCCATGCGAACGCAGCCACTGGGGCCTTCGGTGGAGCTCCCTATGGGGCCACGAAACGTGTGAGGGGTGTGCCAAATTGGGTGCGGCGCCGCCATGCGAACGCAGCCACTGGGGCCTTCGGTGGAGCTCCCTATGGGGCCACGAAACGTGTGAGGGGTGTGCCAAATTGGGTGCGGCGCCGCCATGCGAACGCAGCCACTGGGGCCTTCGGTGGAGCTCCCTATGGGGCCACGAAACGTGTGAGGGGTGTGCCAAATTGGGTGCGGCGCCGCCATGCGAAGCGCAGGAGCTCCCTATGAGGCCACGAAACGTGTGAGGGGTGTGCCAAATTGGGTGCGGCGCCGCCATGCGAACGCAGCCACTGGGGCCTTCGGTGGAGCTCCCTATGGGGCCACGAAACACGAAACGTGTGGTGGAGCTCCCTATGGTGTGAGGGGTGCCAAATTGGGTGCGGCGCCGCCATGCGAACGCAGCCACTGGGGCCTTCGGTGGAGCTCCCTATGGGGCCACGAAACGCGTGAGGGGTGTGCCGTGATAGCGGGAGGAGGGAGGAGGGAGGGGGGAGGAGGCGGAGGAGGAGGAAGGAGAGGCGAGGAGAGGAGAGGAGAGGAGACGCGGGGCACCGTCTCTTCAAAACGAGGACCCAACACCACAGGATGGTTGGGAAATATCCCCGAATGGTCAAAACATACTCAAGAAATAGTCCCCAGACTATTTTCGGACTATTCTTGGGGTATCTTGTATTTTTCTTCCAAAATCCCCCTGTAGGGGGACAGGCCCGACTTAAATCTGGCCCTGCCGGGCGGCCGCGCCCGCCGCGCGGCGCGGCCCGCTGAGCGCCCCCGCCACTTCTCCTTGAATGGCCTCCCAGCCAGGCGCTGCCCCTCCTCGAGCGGCGGCGTCGCCGCAAGGGCGGGCCGCAGCAGCCGCCGCCGCCGCCGCCGACGCCGCCGTGGTCGTGGTCGTGGTCGTGGTCGTGGTCGTCGTCGTCGTCGTCGTCGTGGTCGTCGTGGTCGTCGTGGTCGTCGTCGTCGTGGTCGTCGTGGTCGTCGTGGTCGTCGTGGTCGTCGTGGTCGTCGTGGTCGTCGTGGTCGTCGTGGTCGTCGTGGTCGTCGTGGTCGTCGTGGTCGTCGTGGTCGTCGTGTTCGTCGTGGTCGTCGTGGTCGTCGTGGTCGTCGTGGTCGTGGTCGTGGTCGTCGTCGTCGTCGTGATCGTCGTAGTCGTCGTCGTCGTCGTCGTCGTCGTGGTTGTCGTCGTCGTCGTCGTCGTCGGGGGAGGGGGGGGGACGGTGGGGGGGGGAAGGGCGAGGCGGGAGAGGAAGAAATCGCGTTTTTGTTTGAAAATCCAGGCTTGCCTCCGTGTGGACCGAGGAGCCCGCCCTGGGCACCGCGCAAGAAGCGTCGCCGCAGCCGGCAGTCGAGCGGTCGGGAGGAGGAGGAGGAGGGAGCAGAAGGAGAGAGGGAAGGGAGGATACGAGAGAGAGCCGGGAGGGAGGAGTGAGGAATGGAAAAAGTGAGGGTGGAGGGATGAGGGGAAGGGAGTGAGGGAGGGAGGAGGGAGGAAAGGAATGTAAAAAAAGGCGGGGCGCGGAGGGGGGGGAGGGCATCTCAGGCGGAACGCCCAGTTCAGCCTACCGACGCGCCTGGGGCAGGAAGGCGAGATGTAGGGAACAAGAGCGGCATTGTTTGTTATGAAGGGGCCCTGAGACACACAAATAAATACACACGAATAAAAAGGTTCCCCATAGTTTCCCATATGTTCTGGGTTTTGTCTTCCCCCCACTTCCCAGATTTTCCCATAGTTTCTGGGGGAATCGACGATGAATTGTGTCTGTGTTTTTTCCCCTCCTGATGTTATTTCCCCCCTCGGGACGCCCGTTACGGGGGGTGGGGGGTGGAGAGGGCTTGCGAACGCCACGGCATGCTCGCATACAGCAGAGCAGGCCAGTCAACGCCACAACATGCCTGTCAGCACCCTGCCTTGCCTGTGGGGGGAAAAAAACCCACCCCTCCACGTACGCTCATTATCGTCAAGAGGAGGAGGGGGTGGCGAGCCACAAATAACAAGCGTTACGGGCTCACCAGACGAAAAACACAAGATGAGCAGGACAAGGCGGCGGGGGAGAGGAAGGAGTAGGAAGGTGGCGAGGGAGGGGGAGGGGGAGGGAGAAGAGGACGGAAAGGAGGAGGAGGAGGAGGATGAGGAGGATGAGGAGGAGGAGGAAATGAAGGAGGAGGAGGAGGAGGAGGAGGAGGAGGGGGAAGGAGGAGGAGGAGGGGGAAGGAGGAGGAGGAGGAAGAAGAGAAGGAGGATGAGGAAAAGGACGAAGGGAAGGAGAAGGAGAAGGAGGAGGACGGAGGGGGAGGAGGACGAGGAGAAGAAACGGAGGGGGGCGGGGATGGGGAAGGGGAGGGGGGAGGGCGAGGGCGAAGGGGGAGGAGTGGGAGGAAGGGAAAGAGGAGGGAGGAGGGGAATGAGAGAGAAGAGGACGCCACCCCGTAATCGCGCAAGGCAGCGCTCCTTGATCAGCTCGACCAGGTCCTTCTGCGGAAGGGGGCCCTTGCTCATGGCCTCCGTGCCCGCCGCGGGCGCGGGACGACGCGCGCGCGTGCGCCTTCCCCTCCCCCCGCCCCGTTCTCCTCCTCCTCCTCCCCCTCCTCCTTTTATTTGTCCTCCTCCTCCTCCTCCTCCTTTTCCTCCCCCCCCTCTCCTCCTCCTCTCCTCCTCCTCCTCCTTTTTTCCTTCCTTCCAATCCCCCTCCTCCTGCTTCGCCCCCTCCTCCTCCGCCTCCTTCTCATCCTTTTCCTCTCTCGTTTCACCCCCGCCCCGTCGTCCTCCTCCTTCTCCTCCTCCTCTTCTTCCTCCTCCTCTTCCCCCTCTATGGGTCGCACAGAGACATACAAATACTAGATGTCCTCATTGGAGGCGCGCGTCCGACCCGAACACATAGCATACCCATCTTGTAGCAGATCGTTTTGCAAACGGTGTGGCCAGAAAACGCCCGCCACGACGGATATACTGTGAGATTTCTCGGTGCGCGCGTCCCCCTCTGCGGGGGCGACGCACATATAATATAAATATGTGAGGGTGACGCCGGCTCTACCTTCCCTCCGTCCCGCCCTCCCCCCTCCAGCCCTCGATCATTCGCCTGGCCGCCCCGCGCACCCCGCAGCTTGACCGCGCGCGCCTCCAGGGCGGGGGGTCGTCCAAGGCCACAAAGATGCACACCCCCGATCGATGCCGAAACAAACGAAGCCTTTTCGTACACGGCCCAAGATTGCTCAGTAAACGCCAAATGGCCGGGTCGGGGTGGCCTGTCCCCCTGTAGATCGGCAACACACATGGCAAGAACAGCCCGGGGATCTCCACGACCTTCAACAGCCCAAGGGTTAGGTCGGGCAGGTCCCCCGACAGGCGGATTTGGGACGAGAAGACTCGCATCAAACAAATACTCCAAACATCATCAAACGTACAAGCAAACGCAACAAACATAGTTATATCAAAATATACTTCTTGTCGAGGGGCGTGCCCGACTTAACCCAAAAGGATCTCCACGACATCCACGATCACTCCGCTCTCCATCAGGACAGCCGCTGCGAACGCCCCGGAACGCTCCCCGAGAAGGCTCTGGGACCATCCGCGCGCGCGCCCTGCGGCTCCCCGCGCGGCGCGGGCGGCGGCAAGACCCAAGGCGCCGAAACCCCCGCGCGCAGGGCAGGGAGGGGTGGGGAAGGAGGGAGGAGTAGAATCCTGCGTTTTTTCCTGGTCGTCGTCGTCGTCGTCGTCGTCGTCGTCGTCGTCCTCCTCCTCCTCCTCCTCCTCCTCCTCCTCCTCCTCCTCCCCTTCCTCCCCCTCCTCCCTCCCTCCCTCCCTCCCCCCCTCATTCCTTCCCCCCTCCCTCCCCCTCCTTCCTTCGCACCCCCCCCTCCCTTCCCCCCCTCCTGTCTAATCGACCAAAACGGGGCATCATCTTGCGGATTCCTGAGACCTCCTGGGGCAACGGGCCTCCTGGGGCCTCCCGGCGGTATGTTGATCGACGGATTTGTATCGCAATATATATATATACATATATATTTGTGTGTATATACATAGACATATACACATGCACACATAAACAACCATTCGGCTATATAGTTATACATATGTATGGAATAAATGTAAATGTGTTATCTCTACACATGCATGCGCACACGCTCGCGTAAACACAACGAATATATATATATATATATATGTATGTGTGTGTGTTGAAACAAGTGCAATGATGGCGGACACTATATAATGGAAACATTCTTCGCTGTGTTCGCTTGCATCCAGCAAGCGTTTCGATGCGTGGAAACGACGAGGCGACGGGCTCTGACGAGCGATTCTTCCTCCGCAAACGCCCACTGATACTCGGCCTGATTACGCTGGAGACTACAAGTTCGCCGGGCGCGCAAGCGTCGGCGGAGGTGGAGCGCGGGGGGGAAGGGGGCAAGGGCGCTGCGCGACAAACCCCCGACCGGTGCGAGTATTACGTCGTTGCCGCGTCCCAAAACTCGCGGGTTCCTGGAACGGTGAAAACCCAATGCCCGCGCCGCGATTTTCCTGAACCTGGAGCGCGCAACTACCTGGACCCGGGCCGCCCCGTCCACGAGCGGGCGCGCGCGGAGAGCACCCGCTGCGATTCGGAGCGCGCCGCTGCGCTGGCTTCGGACGGGCCGCCCTCGCGAGGGCACATTCGGAATGTTCTCATGCTCTTGGAGTTGCCCGGGGCGCGCCAGCGCCCATCGCCTGGATTTGGGGCGCCCAACCCTTGAGCGGGCGCGCGCGGAAGGCACCTGGAATAGTTCGGGGTGCACCATCGCGTTGACTTCAGACTGGCCATCCTCAAGCGGTCACGCACGACGCGTCGGCGACAGTTTGAATGGCTTGTCGAAGCGGGGGCAGACGGCTGGCAGCGCGGCGGCAGGTCCCCTCGCCGCCCTTCCGGGAGCGCGAGTTCAGCGCTGCGTATTAGCGGAGCTCACGGGGCTCGCCAGCGCCGGGCGGCGGCCAGACTCTGCTCGCGGCCCCTCTGGGAGAGCGGGCTTGCGCCGTAGGCGCAGAGGCCGCCGGCGGGCGGCCCGCGCCCGTGCTCGCCCCGCGGAACTGCCGTCGCTCTCCGCGAGCGCTTCCTCGTCGCGGGGCTCTTCCTCCGGGGGAATGCTTCTCCGGGCCCTCGCCCGCGCCGCCAGCGGCGGGCCTCCAATGAGACCGCCCCTTGGGCTTGCCCGTCGGCGGGAGGTCTCTGCCACCGAGAAGCGTCGCGCTGCCGCGGGCGATCAGCGCCTGGCAGGCCCAGATGATGAGATTTATCAGATCCGCGGCGGCCTCCGCGAGGCCCTCGATCGCACCGAACAAGGCCTCGCCCTTGTTGGTCAGGGTGGTCTCTGTTGCGCGCCCTAGCAAGACGCGCGCGGCTTCGCCCGCCGCGTGGCCGGCGGCCTCCCTGGCGAAGAGCTCCCAAGAGTTCGTGCCCAAGGGCAACTTCGCGCGCGCGACGAGCTCGCCGTGCGCCTCTGGGCGCAGGCAACCGAGGTGCTTGAGCCAGACCGTCAGGCGCGGGGCCCGGAGCTTGCTGGCGGAGCACACGCGGGTAGCACCGTCTTGGAGCTGATCAGCTCGCTCTGCTCGACGTCGAATTCCTTCTTCAGGATCCAGAGGACGTTCTCCATGTGGGAGGCCACGTGGAGGCTCGTCACGGGCAGAACGCCCACGTTGTGCGTCGTGCTCACCTTGCAAAGGTTCGGTAACAGCTTGCCCATGGCGTCCAGGGGACACGCGCGCTGGAGCAGAACTTCCACCATGTCCCCCCCAACCAGCCACAACTGGGGGAGCCGCGCACCCTGCCCCCATCGAGACAGTCCGCGGATCCGACGATCTCTCGACACCAGCGTCGAAGACGACGACCCCCCCCCCAGAAAAGGCAAGGAAATTATTTCCCACAGTCGCGACTGGCCTGTCCTTGGCCTTGCCCAACATGCGCCCGTACTCCAAAGCGGCCACGATCACCAACCGCCGCGGAAGCGCAACCGAACCCAAGAGCTTGTAGGCCTCGGCGGGCTTCTCGCTCCGCTGAACGCTGAGGTGCTTGCGCGTGAAGCGCAAGGCTGCCCCCCTAAAGTGCCTCTCCAGGAGGTATGCAAAACATGTCAAGAGTCCTCCAGGAGCACTCCCAGGAAGGCCCCAATAGACAGAAAGCGATGATCCCCCGTTGTTGTTTGAATGATTTGTGCTTTCTCGCCTCTTCCACTCCCCGACGTTCCAAGACGGCCTAAGGGGCCCCAAAGATCGCCCAACGACGGCCCAAGAGGCTTCCAAGATGGTCCCAGAACGGCCCCCAAAAGACCCCAAGACGGCCCAAGACGCATCCAAGACGTCCCAACCCCCCCCCAAGACGGCTCCAAAAGTTTGCCCAGACGGGGGGCCTGAACGGACATGTCGAGCCCTCAGCCCCGAGAGGTTCCCAGGATGCCCCAAGATGCCCTAGGCGGCTCCCAAAAGGCCCCAAGAGGCCCACAGGAGGACCCCCCCAGGACGCCCCAAGAGGCTCCCAATAGGCTCCCAAGATGCCCCTCTCCGTCGCTGTCGTCGCCGCCACCGTCGTTGTTGTTGTTCCCCTCCAAGGTCGGCGGCACCGGCCGTAAGGCCTTAGCAATACCTCGATTCAGACGTCACTTTTGCAGGGGGCGGTTCCCCTAAAGATGAGCGCCAAATTTAGGGGGACCAGTCCCGCTAAAGTCCCCTCCCGTTTTATGGGGAACGGCTCTTGAAAATGCCTTCCCGTTTTATAGGGGCCGCCCCCTCCCAAGGGGGCCCACTAGACAAAAATCTGTGATTCCCCATTTTGTTTTCAATGATTTGTGCGTTCTCGCCTCTTCCGCTCCCCGACGCTGCAAGACCGCCTAAGAGGCCCCAAATATCGCCCCAGGACAGCCCAAGAGGCCTCCAAGATGGTCCCACAACGGCCCAGGAAGGCCCCAAGACGGCCCAAGACGCATGAACCACCAAAGTTTCATGCATTTCCTGAAATTGAAAGAACTGCTGCGACATTTCTAAGTGCTTTACAAATCTTAAACTTTTCAATGTTTTGATTTTCTCTTTGTAAAATAAAATCCAAAGGGCCTGGAATATTCCACAACCCAAGCGATCAGGTTTCTGGGAAATCGGGGACCACACAAACTTTAGATTTGCTTTGATTTTTATCATACAAACCGCTTGACATGTTTTCAAAATCTGGATTTTTTGTGCAACAATTCTCAAACTCCTGACGGCTTTGAATATTCAACAACCCAGGCGATCAGGGTTCCAGGGTTCCAGGAAATCCAGATCCAGCAGAATTTTGGATTTCTGTTGAAGAGAAGCTTAAACCATAAAAGAAGTTTTAAACATGTGCCATTTTCCTATGAAAAAAAAGCCTCTTAAATTCTGAGGGCCTGGAATATTCACATCCCAAGCGATCAGGATTGGGGGAACGTTGGAGGCGGAAAAAGAGGAGGGAGGAGGGCCGTTCGAGACCCCAAGATGACATCCCGTCGTGGTCGTACGTGCCTCTTCCTCCCTCCCTCGCCCCCCCCCCCCTCCCTCCCTCCCATCCCGTCCTCCTCTCCCCTCTTCTTGCCGCGGGGGCGCGCTGCCTTCACGTACGCCTCCTGGCGTTTCTGGATGGCCTGCCGGGTGGCAGCAGGGCGGCGAGGAGCGGGAGCTGGGCAGGAGGAAGGCAACAGGGGGACAGGGAGGAGGAGGAGGGGGAGGAGGAGGAGGAGGAGGAGGAGGAGGAAGAGGAGAAACGGGAGGCGGACGAGGAACGGCGGAGGGAGAGTGGGGCGAGGTGGAGCAGCAGATAGGGGGTGGAGGAGCGAGGAGGGAAGATAGGTGGGAGTAGAAACGGGAGGAGGGAGACCAGTTATAGAGATGGGTAGCAAATAAAGGGGAGGGGGATGATGAAGGCGGATATGGAGAAGGACGATGAGGACAGGTATGGGAGCAGGATGGGGGAGCAGGTCTGAGGACGAAGAGACGCATGGAACAGGCCCATGGGGGATGAAAAGGGTGATCGGGTTGAAGGGGGCAATCCTGCTGCTGATTTCTCCCGTTCCTCCTCCTCCTCATCCTCCTCCTCTGCGCCCTTGTCCTCCGCTGGGGCGGGATGCCTCGAAGAACTGGCGCTTCTCCTGGTGCTCAACCACCTTCTGCCTGGCCTCACGGGCGCCGCCGCGAGGCTGGGGAGGAGGAGCGAAGGGGCAAAACCTCGGGCCGAGGGCTCGAGGTTCAAGGCAGAAGGCTGAGGGCTGAAGGCATGGGGTCTGAGGGCCAGGTCTGAAGGCCTAATGCTTACAGGGCAGTTCTAACACGTAGGATGTTTGAAACTATTGGATTTTTAATGCATGACTAATGTATGAATATATTTACGCATGAGCACATCTGCACTTACATATTGTTGTTTTTAATACTGAACCCCTGCATATTCAATACAAGATCCGCACGCGGAGCATGTGTAAACAACGGCACTGTAAGGTCTAAGGGCCGAGAGGACCCACCAGCAGCCCTCGAAAATGGCGACCACTTCGCAGATCGCAGCCCCCCAGGCACGGCGAAGTCCCGCTCAGATCTGCGCGGTGCCTCACTCCGCTGGACCGGCCGTGCCCCGGGTGGGGTGGGGGAGGAGGAGGAGGATGAGGAAGGAGGAGGAGGAGGATGAGGAGGATGAGGAGGATGAGGAGGATGAGGAGGAGGAGGAGGAGGAGGAGGAGGAGGAGGAGGAGGAGGCCTGCTGCCGCCGCTGCCAAGGCCAGGGGACTTCTTTTCTGCGGCACCTCTGGGCGCAGACGAGCTCAGGCAAGGATGCACCGGCTCTGGAACACGATCGGTTCGCGCCGGGCGGAGCCTGGGCGCGAACTGAGAACATTATCCAGAGACGAGGGCTCGCAAAACGCGCGAGGGGTGGGAGGGACAGGGAGCGCGAAACTGAAAAGGGCCTAAATGGCAGCGGAACGCGGCCTCTTCAACTCACGGCACTCGGCAATCTCCAACGAAGTAGGGCACATGCCTGCTGCCGCCGCTGCCAAGGCCAGGGGACTTCTTTTCTGCGGCACCTCTGGGCGCAGACGAGCTTAGGCAAGGATGCACCGGCTCTGGAACACGATCGGTTCGCGTCGGGCGGAGCCTGGGCGCGAACTGAGAACATTATCCAGGAACGAGGGCTCGCAAAACGCAACCTTGCCACACATTCCAGTTGGTCATCTCGACTAATTAGACACTGCAAGGGGGAATCACATTCACGTAAAAAGGGGAGCGAGCTGTTTCGTCTTGGCGCTCCCGTGGGCTTGTTCGAAAGCGGCCGCGAGCGCACTGCAACAGCGAGGGGGGTAGCGCTCGGCGGCCTTCGACTTGAAACCACCTGATGCTGCTAACCCGTGAATTGACGCGCGAGGCTTGTTAGTGCGACTACAGACTATCCCTGAACAAAGACGGGCAAGATGTGCGAGAGAGATGCGATCGCCTAGAACACCTGTAGCTTTCTTCCACGGCGTTCCCCATTGACACATGTATGTAATAATGAACGAAGAGGTCGCCCAGCTGCTGGCCTTTAAAAGACGAGGGAGGAGCCACAGACGAGAGCGGGCAGGATTCTCGATGGCGACAGGCAGAGCTAGACGGTGCATGAGCTCGAAGATGCTACAGCAGAAGGCGGCCAACATATTGCCTACTCTCACAGCCTCGAGATCGCTGGGATGCTTGAGATCATTCAAGCCCTTCAACTCTTGGTCACTCCGAAGACGGGATGGCAGGCAGGGTCGAGGGTTGTCAGGATCTCGAAGGGGCCCGGTGTCCCGCGCCCGCGTCCAAGTCTGACATGGCGCGCCCATGAACACGCCCCACACGAGCCCGGCCAGAATCCAGCCTCTTACCAACTTCTGCGTGGCACGCTGGCTCAAATCCCACTGCGGCCCGCGCGTCTTGTCCCACTCAAGGACGAAGCCGCGCGACCGCAGGCTGTGAGATAGGCCTCCGTGCCCGCTGAACAGCTCTATAAACACCTGCGGCTGGACGAGGCGGGCACCCCTGGAGGCCAGGGTGAGAGCAAAGGCCTCCCGCGGTCCGACCAGAGCGCTGCGGTCGAGCCGACTGCTCGCTCGCGGGCGGCGCTCGGCAGCCTCTGCAGCTGCTCCCCCAGGCGGACGCCCTTCTGGTACCTGCGCACGCTCGAGCCGCAGTGCCACCGCCCCCGCAGCTTTGTCTCCTGCAGCGTCCGCAGCCCCCGCGCCCGGTCGTGGCTTGGTCCGCTGTGCCGCAGCATGTGCAGCACCGGGCCCAGGCACTCGACGCGGGCGCGCACGGCCACGGCCCTGAAGCTGCGGACGAGGTCCGCGTGCAGGAAGCCGAAGATAGGCTGCCGCGGCGGCGCGCTCCTCTTGAGGAAGGCGAGCACGCTGTGGAAGACCCTGAACTCCGCGAGGTCGACCACCACGGCCACGTCGAACCCCCTCGTCTTGCTGCTCTCCTCCTCCTCGAACGGGCGCCGGACAAGGGCCCAGCTCGCGATGTGCGTGCCCTGGGAGGGCGCGACGATCATCTCTGGCGTGACCCGCCCCAGCTCGCTGGGCCGCAGGTAGCAATGGAAAGTGATGACGACCCACGCAGCCATCGCCCAGAAGCCCGCGGCGACCAGCTCGAGCGCGAGCAGCGACACCACCTGCGCCGCCTGCGGCAGCGCGAGGCTGCCTGTGCGGCTGAACTGCGGCTGGAGGACCTTCACCGCCGCCGTCGCCTCGGTCCCGCGCCGCGACAGCTCGCCGGCCAAGTGCTCGCGGTCCATCCAGCTGGCCCGCAGGCCGTCCATGTCGTCGTCGCTGAGAACTCGGGCGGCGCCGGTCACGCGCGCAGTCGCTGACCACGCCCGCAGGATGTTCTGCCACAGCGTGTCGCACTGCGCGACCGTCCTCGGCGTCCCCCAGGCCCACTGCAGAAAAGCCCCCCGTGGCCAGAGGCGCGGCCCGCGCCCGCCGGCGAGCCGTGCGAACAGCTCTCCGCGCCGGCGCCGTGCGCCCCTGCCGCCGCGCCGCGGCAGCAGCCGCCCCGACGTGGCGGGGCCGGCGCACCGCCGACTGAGCAGGATCGCCCCCGTCGGCCGCCTGCTTGCCCCGCAGCCGCCGGGGGGCGCCGGGCGCCCTGGAGGGGGCCGCTGGCGGCGCCACGGACGGCCAGCTCCTCGAGCTCCGCCCCCGCGGCCGCGACGTCGGTGCGCTGGCTGCGGAGGCTCCCGTCTCGCACGCCCCAGCAGTCGAGGTCCGGCTCGCCACCGCCCGCGCCCCCGCCCAGCCACGCACCGAGGGGGATGTGGCGGCGCGACGGAGCATCTGCAACGTTGCGCTCCGACGGGATCCAGCGGACGGAGGCCTGCACCCCTCCCGCCAGGCACCAGGCAGCCCATTGCGGGGCGATGCGGAGGACCCCCCAGCCGACGAGCGCCCCTTCTGCAAGGCACATACGAGCCCCATGTTGTCGGACAGGAAGATGAGGCGATGACCAAAAGACTTCGAATCTCGAAGAGCGCACCTGAGCGAGCGAACGATAGCCCGACCCTCCAGGACGATGATGTTCTCAGCCCGGGCCCATCCTCCACTAGACACCACCTGCCACCTGCCCCCGTACAGCTCGCTCGAAACCTCCTGCACCTTCCACCTCTCGCCCTCCGTGCACACCCCCTCGAAGTCGTCGACGACCACCGGCTCCTCCGCGGAGGCCGAGAACCTCCAGGATGACGAAACCTCCACCTCTCCTCATCACGACCCGCAGCCCTGACAAGCTCGACGTCGGCCTCCTTCTGGCAGACCCCCCCCCCCTCCTCGCTCGCGTCGCTCGCATGCACCATGGAGCCCCAGGGCGCACGAAGGTCTGACCAAGCGAGAGGGAGGAGTGCGGCAGCCCACTGAAGTTCACGTCGAACCGAAGGCGGGATTTTCTTGACTCGGGAGAAGTACTTCCGGGAGAAACTGTACACGGCACTGAAGACGGAGAGCATAGGCCTCTGAGAGAGAGCAGTGAAAGCATAATGTCCAGCAACCTTTCCGATCTGGCGACCCGTGGCGTACCCCTTCCTCAAGAGCTCCAGAATCCCCAGCCTCAACCTCCAGACACGCCGACTTTTGGGGCGCAAGGCCCCGCGCTCGCCGTCGAAGACCCAGCCCAGCTGCTCCGAAACGGTGACGGGCGCCTCGGTCGGGTGCACTGGCAGGCCCACACCTTCAAGGGCTTTTCGAGCTGCGTCCAACATCTCACTAGGCCTCTCGGGCCCCGTGCCGAAGGCGACGAAGTTGTCGACGTAGGCCGCGAAAGCTCCCTCCCTCACATCCGCAGGCGGACGTCCGTCAACGATCTCAGCTGCCCCAGGGAGGTCCCCTTTTTCCAGCACGATCGCGCGGTGCACCCGCTGGCAGAAGTCGAGAGCGTGCGACCAGCCCATTGGCAAGACCGCCAAGCACGGGCGAACCCAGGCCAGGCGCGACACGGACTGGCCCTCGACGACCTTGAGGCCAAGGTCAGCGGCACGCAATCGAGGAAGAGCGAAGTAACGTCGAAGTTCACTAGGCAAACCCATGTTGTAGAAAGCGTCGGCTATGTCGACCCCCCCTGTCCACAACTGCTCACCCTCTCGCAGCTCCAGGCGACTGAAGCTGGCCCCGCTGGCGAGGCTGGTCTTGTTAGGTTCTGCAAAATGCAAATTAGATCCCCTGCAATCGATCACCAAGCGTTGGCGACCGTCTTTCTTCCACACTGTGAAAAGCCCGACCTCTTCGAAGTCGTCCCCGTCGAGCCTGAAATCCAGCATGTTAGCCTTGCTCAGTCGGCTGACGAAGGCGAGGTAGTCTTCACGCCGACGGAGAACTGGATCCAGGTACGGCCGCACAAAACCCGAGTCCTTCTTTGCCTCAGCGGCATCGTGATTTGACAAAACCTTGGAAGAAATGAACCTCCGCGCGATGTCTGGACCGTCTTTCCCGAGCAGCTGGCCCAGCGGCACCGGGGCGCCACCGACAGCCGGCAAGGAGACGAGGTCGTGCACGAGGGGGGCCGCCGAGACGGCGTCGCAGTCCCCGTAGGCGGCGCCGACCTGGAGCTCCCGGAGGGCCACCTCGGTCGACAAATCAGAAGGCGGAGCGCCCATCGCCGCGCAGCTTTCGGCGAGGCGCTCCAGACA